CATGCTTTGGGGTGCTTTTCTGCAAAGGGGACAGGACGACTGCACTGTATTGAGGAGAGGATAGATGGGGCCATGTATCACGAAATTTTGGGCAACAACCTCCTTCCCTCAGTAAGAGCATTGAAGATGGGTCGTGGCTGGGTCTTCCAGTATGGCAATGACCCCAAATCACAGCCAGGGCAACTAAGGAGTGGCTCCGTAAGAAGCATTTCAAGGTCCTGGAGTGGCGTAGCCAGTCTCCAGACCTGAACCCAATAGAAAATCTATGGAGGGAGCTGAAACTCCGTGTTGCCCAGCAACAGCCCCAAACCCTGAAAGATCTGGAGAAGACCTGTATGAAGGGGTGGGCCAAAATCCCTGCTGCAGTGTGTTCAAACCTGGTCAAGAACTACAGGAAACGTCTGACCTCTGTAATTGTAAACAAAGGTTTCGGTACCAAATATTAAGTTCAATTTTTCTGTTGTATCAATTACTTATTTCATGCAATAAAATAGAAATAAATTATTTAAAAATCTAACAATGTGATTTTCTGGATTTTGTTTTTAGATTCTGTCTCTCATAGTTGAGGTGTACCTACGATGAAAATTACAGATCTGTCCGGTCTTTGTAAGTGGGAAAACTTAAAAAAATCGGCAGTGTATCAAGTACTTATTTGCCCCACTGTATACAGTACTACAGTTCTACTGCATCTTCCGCCACTGGCTGTCCTACGCTACAGAAGGAGAAAAGCCTTTTAGAATACGTCACCGTTCTTGTGTCTTGTGTCTTGAGAAGCCCATAATATTTTGGGATCATAAAAAATGGCAAAGAAATTCACTAACCACATATTTTTCTACTTCACTGCTTTGCAAAGCACTAGCCCAAAAGGCAATACTGAAATACTGTGGTTATAGTGTTTATGTCTGCCTTATACTTGGAGGCATTTGAATGTTTTTGAGTTATTGATAGGGATAACAGCTGAGGAGCTGGTAAAGGATGTTGGGTAGTAGTTGATACTACTGATTTATGCACTTTGATTGCCACCGTAGCCCATAATGGGACATGTATGCAGGCATAAGATAAAAAATAGAAGAGGTGGTGGAAGGATTTAAATCCAAAGGCATACATTTTGCATTTAAATGTACCAGGTGGATTTTGATGCTCATAAATTAGTTAGAAAATCTATAAATGAGTAATTTTCTCTGTAGTATTTGTTTCAGATTGATCAGAGGTTGTGGTCAAATTGCAGAATAACATATTGGGTCATTTGCCATTCATGTCATTCCAATTTAATGCACATAACCTTTTGTTTATTGGCATGTTGTGATTTCCTTAGCTACACTGCCTTATTGAGTTAATACCGCAGTCTGCTTTTAATTCCATGCGAACAGTTGCACTGGAAATGTGCCACTGAAAAATTGATTGACATGCTGAAAGTTTATTTCCCCCTCTGCACCTGTGCTCCTCCCTGAGGTGCGTACTCAACACAGCTGCAATTGTTTCTGCTTGGCTTGTTTTCTGATCACTAGCATAATGAAGAGAGGTTTTTAGGACAAGAGGACTGTTATATTTCATGTTGTGAGAAAATGTAAAGGTGTCAGTTGCCAAATTGATAAAAGGGAATGATATTAATTACTATTGAGCACTTTATACTCCAGCTTGTAGGGTTTATTGGCTGATACAGTAGCAGGTATTTGAACTGAAATCCGCTGAAGGAGGGTCTGTTTTATTGTAGGAAATTACAATATGGGGCCTGAATTTTGTTCCCATAGGTGTTCAGTCATCTGAAACAGTATTACGACCAAAGTGAAGTTAAAACTATTTGTTCAAACCCTGCAAAAATACTGGATCCTATTGTCGGTTCCTGCGTGGGTTGACATTGCATTCTTATACTAGACTGCTTAAGCTCCTGTGCAGGGTCCAAACCAGCGTAGTATTAATCAGTTGCTGTTATCATAACTCAAACACATTGTATTCATAATTTGGGAAGTGAATGACACTGAATACATGACTTTTTTTTACAAACCAAGAAAAAAAGCTTTTAAAATGTCACAAAAACTAAATTATTAGTTTTATCATACTATACACACTATATATAATTTTGTGACATTATTTAGAGAAAGTTCAGAGACTGATCTGGCTATGAAAGTCTGAATTCACTATAAAAAAGGATTGTTTAATGAACAAAGCCAGCTGCAAAGACGACAAGTCATGTGTGACAACATTAAAGCAGCACTTTATAGAGACATAGTTGTGGACCCTTAACAACAACCAAATCCTAAATGAAAGAGCTTCCATGAAAAGTGTGGGGAATATAAGTTCCTTACTTTCGTAGCAATTACAAAAGACCCATGAGGATATAAGAGAGAAAGCACTGTATGTGAAAAGGAAAACTTTTTTTTTAAAGAATGGAGGAGTTTTTTGTGTCTGTCCATATTAAATATAACTCAATTTATCAATTAATAATATAGTTAAATGATTAAAATGGAGTGTAAAAGGTAGAGCTGTAATGGCTAGATCAATTCAGTCGATCAACAGTAAAAATACTTGCATGTTTTCATAAACATAAAATAAATATTCCTTTGGGTTTGGGCTGTTAGGAATTTATGATGTGCTTTTTTTTGTTTGTTTTTTTTTTTTTTTTACATTTCTGGCTCTTTATTCACAAACAGTGTATTAATTGACACTTTTAATAATTTGATAAACTGATCCATAAGGAAAATCATCTTTACTTTCATTGTGCTCTGTGTTGACAAAAAGACATGCACTAATGTTAATTGAAATATAAGGGTATTTTTAGTTGGTTTTATCAAGTAAATGGTGATAAAGAAAACATATGTAGCTTTTTGCTTTTAGAGCTACTGAATAGAGGATAAAAATCTAAATTTCTTTTACACTCCATTTAAATTATTTAATTGACTATTATTTATGGATGTGTTCAGTTGTATTTTTGACTCAGATAATCTTTGACTACATTTTGTCAGTTTCCAAACTCTGAGCTCGGGAGTGGCTGTTTTGGTTAGCTGTGCTAACATCCCTTTGATGGCAACTTTAACTCTTTCTGGGAAAAGATATACAGTATGTGATGATAACCATAGGCACCAGTGCCATAGTTAATTCTAAGATGCTTTATCCACATACCCTCTGCATTTCTCATGCTCATATTGCTGCTGTGTTTTTGTTTTGTTTTTTTTAATCATAATGTGTACTGTAATTTGCCGATTCTCTACTTTGTAATGTAAACACTAGGTCTTAGTCAACTCTGGTGTATAAAGACCACATGTAGGTAGTTGTCAAGTTCAGCTATATCAAAATACTAAAAACATTACAAGGACGATAGTGTCTAGAGGTGCTAATAACAGACTTTTGTCTTTTATTGTATTATTGACTAGTGTTTTCTGTCTGTAAAAACAGTGTAATGAATTCATTTCAGTATTAAACAGTACAGATTTATTATTGCAAATGGAGATGTCTAGTGTTTTGATTCTGCACAGAGAGGGTGAAATCAACCGTTTTGTTACCTGGATCACGTTTCAGTAAGGCTTCTCTCGAGGCACATGCATTATGAGTTTGCTGCCATCTGTTGGGAGATGCACAACCTCCTGCCAGTATTTATTCCATGATTATCAAGTCAGTTCTTGGTGTTCCATATAGTGTGAGTAGGCTACAAAATGTTTACAGTTTTGCAGTCTCAATCAGGTTAAAATTCACTGAACTACATATACAGAAATGTCAGAATCAGACCAGAATTATGTAAAAACAGAAAACAAAACATCCTCACTGATCTCGTCACCTGGCTGAAGCTGTGTTTGGACTACTATCAAACTACTGATGACTCGAGCATCAGTCTCTTGACAGACAAGGGGTGGAGATGGTTTTACATCTTGGTGAGGCGCAGGATGTTGAGGCGGACCCCCAAGATACTGGCCCCTGAAGCATACTGGATTTCTCTGAGGACCCCAATCCACTTCCTCTCTGTCTCATTATACCTGAAGAGGTTGACAGACATTCGTTTGTCAGGAACTAAAGAAACCCACTGATACCAACTTACATTTAGGATATGGCAGTGCATCAGTAATTAGTGTTTACTGCCCTTTCAAACAAGTCTTTTTTTTTTATTTTTATTTGTGTAATAACATGCTGCTGTTTTCGACAGTGAAAGCCACAGGATGCATGTTATTTCAAATCTGCTAGACTCCAGTTTAATTTCTCTTTAGCGTGCAGTCCAATGTGATGAACACCACAAAGACAGTTCATTTTGTATAGTTTATATACATTTAGCTATGGGTTGTGGTGTTTATCACAGTGTACTGAATGCATGATGAAGTGCTTATGAGTGAGACCCACCTCCAGATGTCATTCATCTCTTTAGGAATAACCTCATCACTGTCTTCCAAAGGCATCATGCCAAAGCCTCCTACAGCATACAGCGAACCAGCCAAAGACACCAGGTTCAGAGAGCTACGCTCCTGGGGAAACACTCCACAGTCTGACCACCTGAAAATGTCAACACATATACAAAGGTATTGTTTTGTACAATACATTTGAGGATTCAAAAGACTCGATAGGTAAATGTCTTTAGGCACCTCAACACCTGCCTCAGAGTTAAGCAAAGCAGAAACTACTTCCAAAATAAAATAAACTAAACATAAAAACTAAAATAAACATTTAGTGTTTAAATATGTAAAATAAGACAAACTGCTAGTGAAATTAACAATGAAACTGGAAAAAAATTGGAGCTATTTGGTGACTTCAAGACGCTAAGTCTTGGGCCAGCTTTTGTCTATGACAACCACCCTCACTTTTGTCAGCCATTTCCACTGATTCTGAAGAACTTACTTGTTGGTAGTGATATTGTACACCTCTATTGAGTCCGTCAGCCCATCGTTGGTGACTCCTGCTGCCACATATATCTTGCCATCATGAATGGCAGCTCCAAATAAGGACCGTGCAGTCTTCATGGGAGCAAGTTCTTTCCATTCAAATTTCTTGGTGTCATATGCACACATCTTACTTAGACAGCTCCTTTTCAAAAGAGAGACAAAAAATAGTACCTCTGGGGTTCACCATTCCCTTGTGACATGACTTTTTAGGTGCAAAATGTGTTGCTGAAGCAGTAAATAAAGGCTTACATCTGCCATAGATGCATATTTTTTTATTATACTCACTTGTCATCTCCTTTTCCTCCAATAACATAGACAACATCATTGTGGGATACTGTTGCATGTCCATAGACTGGGTAAGGAAGCGGCTCTGATTCACCCCATTTAAAAGATCTGTAAATGACAAACCACCGGAAACGTGTAAACTAAATAGGATTCAGCCATGAGAACAGCAGCACATTAAATAATTACAGATTTGATACATAAGCTCACTGTCTGTCATAGACCAAAACTGAGTCCAGTATTTGTTCCTGCTCATTCAGCTCTCTCCCTCCCAACACAAAGATGGAGTTGTCAGCCTCTGACAGCCCAAACAGGAAGCGGGGAGATGGGACAGGAGGCATCCCCATCCAATCAGCACTGACCGGGTCATACTGAGGTCACAGGAATCATACATGAGCTGATTAGTATGCTGTAGAGTATACACACGTACTGTAATGCATGCATAGATGTTGTATGTGCAAACACTGAATATACTCTGGTTAAACATCTTTAACATCCACTTTCCTCCTTTAATTACCCCTAAAGCAGATTTACACATATACAGTTTCTGACAATAATACATATACAGTATATTTCAGATTGTTGCTAATTGAAGCTGGATGATATTTGTGCCAAGTGGAATATTCCACTTCTTAGGCAGAATATTCAACCTAAGACTCCACAATTTCAGCAGATTGAAATATCCTTTGTTTCATGCATTTTTTATAAACAGTTGCCCAAAATAACATTTTGAAAATTTAAACAAATCCTAGCAGCATATTAATATTTTGGGTAAAGTATATAGTATTTTCAGCAATGAGGGTATAACCTAAAAATTTGAGTAGAGATGCTGCAGAGTTTAATTATTAATAAAATAAGCAGAGATGCAGTTGGTTTCTTCTTTTAAAACTTTAGAGCCTCTCCTACCTGCAGGAAGTATGAGCAGAGTGGATCTTCTTTGTTCTGTTCATCATAGAATAATCCTCCTGCCACAAAGATCTGGTTCTCCTTGGTGACCAGGCCGGCATGGTTCTTGGGAATCTGTGTGGAAAGTGATGCTACAAAGCATTCGTTTCCCGACGGATCATAAGCCACAGTGCTCTTGTCATTCACCATCAATAGCAAGTCCCTCATAAACATGCCAAATCTCAGGTTGTCATTCAGGATGCCTGGGAGAAGACCTTCCTCCTCACTCTCTCCATCTTTTCCTGCTCCACCAGCCACCTCCTTGCTTTTCTTAACTTCCGGCATTTTCCCAGCGTGAGCATCCCGAACCAGCTGGAGCTTCTGCTGCAACTCGGGATTTGAACAGATCAATTTGTGCTTCTCTACTTTTTCTTTCAGGTAATCCTCAGAGACCAGACGCAAACGAACACAGTCCAGCAAACCTGGCAGCTCTTTTTCTCTGCTCTCGGTGTCTCTAGACACCCAGTTCATCAAAGTCTCAAACACTGCTTCCTCTGTCTCTACGTTCAGGTTGTCATTTGCTAAGATAGCTGCTAGCTCACTTGGGAGCAACTGGTAGAAATCCTCATCCCTGGAGATGAACTGGAAGCGTTCACAGGCATAGTTTCGGGCAGAGATAGCCAACCTGGGACAGTCCAGCATCAGGCCAAGTCTGAAGATAGCTAGGCAGTTGCTGAGGCTTAGGCGCTTTTGCAGGAAAGAGACACATACAGTGAAAATTGAAGGTATTTGATACATGTTAGCCACAGCAAAGATGTCCTGGACATTCTGCTCTGTGACATGGATTTTAGAAGTGTACAGATATTTGAGGACCAGCCCCATGACACCAGGCTCCACATCCTCCAGGACAATCTCTCCCTTTTTGCTTTCCTCTAGGTCCGACAGAAAGATAGAGCGAAAGTACGAGCTGCAGGCACACAGGACAAGCCGGTGGCAGGGGAACTCTTTGTCTTTGATCTTCAGCACACAATCAACAAGCTTTTCGTTCTCTAACAGGTCACACAGGCCGTCCTGGAGCAGAGTCTGCTGGTATATCCTGGGCTCGTCCGTGGGGTTTATAGGTAGAGCCATCGTTTCTGGTCAGAGGCAGTTTCAAGAGCCTTTCTGTGTCTGCAAATCCAACAAAAAATGGCTCTTCTCTTTAGCAGTCAGTCTACCGTTAGTCCACGCCAAATGACCACAGGAGGCAGGGGGATCTCTCTCAGCTGTCCTGACCCTTCAGCTGAGCTCCAACTGGGAAGTTATTTATAGACTGGGTGCTCATTGTGAAACTATGAAATGCTATATCCCCGCTTCAATCTCCCATTCCCATCTACAAACCTAGCCACTCACTAGGAGCATCCACCCACTCTCAGACAGCTGGCACATTGCTTCCAGAGAAATGTGTGACCTGAGTCATGGGGTCTCTGTGGTAGGAGGCTGCCCCCTGGGGTTTCTGTGGCTGAGTCATCATAGCAAGTGTTACTCCATGTTTTAGACATATTACTATATTTGCATATTATTAATACTGAATGTTGTTAACTCTAATGTAGTTTCCTCCCTTCTACACATCCCCTGTGATTTTATTGATCTCTGATTATTTTTCTGCATTTGGACACAAGAGGTCATCTTGTGTTGGGCTGGATTTTGCTATGAGAGATGTTATTTAATTGCAGCTAAAACACTGAGCCAGTGTTCTTCACTCCTTCAGCAATGTTTTGTCACTAAAGATGTCAGGGGTGTGCTCCTTGTAGGACCCAAATGCAAGCCCGCATTAACAAATAAATTAAAGCATTTACTGTGGGGATAAGATAAGGGGTAAAGAGTGGTGAATGGATGAGCTGCTCAGATAAGGCCTCACATGCCAGGAGGAAGAGAAACCACTCAGTAATGACATCAGTTTCACTCCTAGAAGAAACAGACAACTGGTGAGTAGGTGTCCGGTGTAAGTTGTCCTTTATAATACTGGTGAGATGTGTCTTGTACTCATAAATGTGGCCTTTTAATAATCCAGGTGAAGGTTGGGGACCTTATGGCAGCAGGTTGAAGGCAGAGAGGATGGAGGACCATACAGCTAGGTGAAATGGGGAAGGTGACGTAACATCCTGATGACTGCATAGCACAACAGCAGAGAAAACAACACACTTGAAGCAAACAGGTGAGTAAATAATTAACTTTATTTGGCCAAGTATGTTACACACAAGGAATTTGTTTCCAGTACAGAACCGAGGCAGCCATCTGCGGTGCCAACTCACACCAATGGCTCTAACCATCGGGGGCAACTTGGGGTTTCAGCATCTTGCCCAAGGACACTTCAACATGTGGATTGCAGGCACCATGATTCGAATCTCCAACCCTCCGGTTGGGAGATAACCACACTACCCACTGAACCACAGTCGCCCCTAAACAAAATAAAGAAACAAACTAAATAAATTGGGGAAAGATCCTGCTCCAAGAAACAGAAAAAAAAACAGTTCATACAAGACATCAATACAAAATCCAGTTATCGCAGGACAGGGGTCAGAGCCAGGCTGTAGTCAAGGCAGAAAGGGCAGAGAGCAAACTTAAAGCTCCAACAGGGGCACAGGTTAAAGTGCACAGATCAGGTTCAGGTAAACAGGCAACTAACTTCTGCAGTGCTGCAAGAGACAATCTGGCACTGATAGCTGGGAGAAGACAGGTTAAATATATAGACTAACAAGACGCATGTGAAACAATCAGCTGCTGATTGAGCTGGCTAAAGCTGGGGCGGGTGGTGCAAGACTGGAAGTCTCCAAAAAAATAAAAGCCACAAACAGGATGTCAGGGACAAATCAAGACAAAAGAATGATTTTCAGAGATAAGAGATTATATTCTATATTTTTCTTATTGTGACCATGTCACACACACAACAAAAATGAAAATCAACATCGATTTCATCCTGTACATAAATTTTGTGTGTATAGTTAGGTGTGCTATAAAGTTCAATTGTTGTCCAAAAATGATTAAAACACAGTGTGCTACAGTGTTGTCCAGGGAAGCTTTTTTTTTTATAATGAATGTGGTTACTGTAGTTCACTGGTGTTTAGATTGAGTTGGCAATAGGAAAACTAAAGACCAACACCAGCCTCATTCTTTAAGTTCGTATATACGTACGGTACTGTAGCTAGATGTTGTCATCGGGTATGGCTCTTCGAGGAATACTCTTAGCCGAGTATAGCAGAACCTAAATATTGTTACTGTGCATAAATTCCCTAAAATCTGATGTGACAGTTTCGTGTCACTAAATCCTTTTGTCATACTGTTCAGGTCCAGTCAGTGATTCACCACAGGGGTGATCATAGCCATTCCACTAGACATTGCTAAGAGTGTTTCCATCAAACAGGAATTAAGCTACAAACTACTGATGTAATGCTACAGAAATACCTCAGTGACTGGACACAACCCTGACACACACATTGTAAAAGGCCCCACTCACTCACTCATATTTATACAGCAGCAAAGATCAAATTCTCTCCTTAAACATGTTAATAAAGACAGTTTTACTTCTTACCTTAGTCTGCAATATGATAAAACAAAACAAATGTAATGTTCTGAATAAATCACTGTAATTTATTTGTTGCATTAAAAGTAACAACACAGCTTTCAGGAAAATTACATTTTGCTTTAACTTCCCTACTGGGTTATTAGACAGTTTAAGAATAATGATTTTCTTATTATTCATTTTCATACTATAAAATCATAGGTGTACTGCAAATATATATTACATTAAATGTCAGTGAATGTCTTACAATTTTTCTCTTTTTAAGTATAAATATAGTTAAATTATGGTAAAAATATTTACAATTAATGATGTTTTTGACATCAGAAGAAGTAGATAATTTATTCAAATGTTACATTATAACATCTAGAATGGCAGTAGTACTGTCAGCTGCTTCATCCTACTTTGTTTTTGGAAGCATAGCAGTAGGTGAACAACAAATATCTACTGGACTTTTTCTTTGCTGGAATCTGTGACTGGCTGAGCAGCAGCAGGTGCCGCTTCAGTGCTGGTCGGGCTTGTGGTGCTGTTTGGGGGAGGGACAGGATCAGGATCATCCATGAGGGCTTGTCTCCTCTCTCGCTCCTTAATCACTTGAATCAGGCAGTAGGTCACAAACATGGTGATGATAGTGGTTATAGGGAAGCCTGGTAAGAAAAATTACAACTTAAGTTAGTAGAGTTGGTAGAAAGGTTAAACCCTTGGCAAAATAATCAAACAAAATCACCTTTGAGAAGCAGCCGTTTGGCAACCAAGTCGGCAAAGTCCAAACTGTTCAAGCCCAGAACACTGTACAGCACAATGCTCCAGAAGTTAAATGTATTGAAGATGGCTCTGATGCGGCGGGAAGTTGCTTCTGACATTGCCTTCTGTAAATAATACAATTTCAATGAACAAAAAGCCTCTTGTAACTGAAGCATATAGCAGCCATCTCCATTTACCAACCTCAAAAGAAGCAAAAGGCTCCATGGAGAAAAACTTGGAAGCCCACAGCTCAAAGTTGAGCCCAAAACAGTTAAAGCCAGCCCAGATCAGCACCGCCTGACAGGGTCCCAACCAGAGAATGGTAACGCCAAAGGTGCACAGTGTAGCCACCAGCTCCTCCACCACATTCTCATGCCTTCCACCCAGATAGTCATACACATACCTGTAGAAAAACGACACAGTATTAGGACCTCAAAGTTTGATGTGATTATTACAACTTTACTGGTCTTTTTGAGACACTCACTTGCACAGCCAGTCATTGATTCCTCTGTCAAAGTGCCTACAAAAATAGAAAAATCAAAATCAGGTTTAATGTTAGATCATTTTACCAAGTATAATGAAACAAATGTGATCAAGCAGTGTCAATGCAACTCACATTTCAGCAAACACATAGAGCATAGTGACACATTTTGGTGGCTTGGGTGGGTCTAGATGATCCAGTCTGGATACCGTGTTGATGACTCCGAACATGACAGCTGCTTTCACCCAGTCATACACCACATTAAAGTAAGCCAGTCCAACTGGAGACAATATAATCACATTGGTTATGCCATCATTTTATTGTCATTTCAGTGAATTCAACCATTAATAAAGCAATTAGCATGTCCTTTTGAGCTAAACATGTCCAACATGCTGTAATTAACGTCACAGCATTAAAAAAGGGAGAACAAACAGAATGTAGCCCTTTCGGGGAGGCAGCACAGACCTAGAGCCCAGTCAGAGAGGCGCTTCAGCAGCTTCATGTCAGTTGGGATGGTGAGGATGTACATGAAATGGAAGAGAATGTCCACTACAATGATGACTCCCAGGTGGATCAGGCCCTGTAGACTGATATTCCACATCTCACGCTCTTTCCTGGTCAGGTCCAACCTGTTGGCCTGCAGGGGGCAGCAGACACATGTCACAAAATCAGAGGCTTCTAGCCTTGACATTGCTACTGTACACTCACCAGCCACTTTATTAGGTACACCTGTACAATTATATGCACTTCAACGCAACACTTCTACCGTCAGAATATTAGAAACACCTCTAAATATAATGTAGTCCAGTACAACACCGCCTTTAACTATGACCTCAATAATAAACATGAGTGAAATAAAAATAAAACCTTTAACTTACTTGAACATAAAATTTATCAAAGGTCATGATGGGGCCAAAATAGAAGAAGGGGAGGTAAAAGTTGTACTTGAGCAGCTCCAGGATGTTGAAGTTTCCATCTTTTCTTTCACAGTTTTCCAGTGCAAAGCTCATACAGCGCATGATCGTAAACCCGCAACCTCCATAGAAAAGAACATGACGCAGCTCAAAGTCCCCCTCCACAAAACCAGCCTAAAGATAAGAGATAGAAAAGGTGACATACAATGCTAATTTTTCATAAAAAGCTGTCATGTGTAGTCATTTCTCCTTATATTGTTTACCTGCCAGGACACAAAGGGTTCGCACTTAAATGTAGCAAGGGTACAAAGACCAGTGACAAAACAAAGCCAGCGGGTTTTCACTAGGGAGATGCTGTAGAGCAGGATGCAGTGGGACAGGATGAGAGAGATGTAGGTCCAGCCCATACTGGTCCACACAGCCAGCAGCCCATACACCATATACACCAAAGACCTGTACTGTGGAAGAAAAAAATAGTGCCACCTCACGACCAAGTTGCATCTAATAGAATGGCACATTTTGAAAGCAAAACAAAACAATGTGTCCCTGTTTCGACCAAAAGTCAGTCTAATGATGCAGCTTGTGTCTAGCTTTTGTTAAATTACTACATAATGCACCAGGTAAAAATTACTGGAAGCTTGTTTGTCATGAGGCTATTTAATAATTTTTATCAGACAGACATTTCCATACAATGTAAACACAGGTGGCACGTTATAAAAATTATACTTAGTGACAGATTTTCACTCTGCAGACACGTGAGCAGGACATGTTTACCCAAACAAAACATAAGTATTTCAATTAAGCTAGTGTGAGTGCATGCCTAAAAACAGGGGCTGGTCATGACAAATGGATTCAAAAATGTAAAAAATGACTGCACACTAGAAGCTTACATTTATTATTTTTTTTAAAGCTGACATTTTGACCCATTGGTCTTTTTCAAGACTAGTGTCAAGCAAACATTTAGCCCTAAAGAAGAACAGTGGGTCAAAACATAGGCTGTTTTTTTTTTTAATAAATCACATACGCTTATAGTGTGTGGTCATTTTCACATTTTTACCCAGACTAAATTGGCATTACTGATCTCATTAAATATAGAGAAATGTTTCTTTTAATGCTTCTTCGTATACACTCATCCCTCCATCTGACTCTCCCTCAGTATTTGTCTTTCCTCTTACTAGCTTACTGATGATATAAAAAGCTACTGTGCAATGTTGTAAAAATAACTTGTGACAAAGAGGATTTCAAATGTCAAGTATTCCTAACAACACAACACAGTGTGAAGTAAACCTTACTGATTTTTCCAGCTCTGTTCATAGTGACTTGATACTTGCTTAAATCTGAGTCCTTTACCTCTGTCACTACATTATTATTTTTTCAGTGGCTCAGTCAGTTAAACAGTTCATTAGAAGCACCTGTGGAGCCAGCATGGAGCAGATCTTGGCGAAGAATACGTGGCCTGCGAGAGCAAACAGGATGTGCTCTCTGAATGTGGAAAACCACATCACCCACTCAAAGTCAGCAGTGTCCTGTAAACCATGGAGATAAAAAAAAAAAAAAAGTTGGAAACAGTATGCATGATTCTTTTCTTTGAAATGTGTGTCTGCTCCCTCACCATTTTTCTCCCAAAGTAGTGCCATCCTGGCCTCACGCTGGATTTGAATGTCCTTCTGTTTGCATTGGCTAGAATAATAACAGTATGAGAAATCAGCTGTGGATAAAACAATTCAAGGGCATAAAAACTGACTGTAATACACAGTACATTTTAGTTTGCCACTCATTTTATATCTTATTAGCTTTCCTTGTATGTAGATGTGACACTGAAACTCACAGGGCCCTTACCAAGCCCATTTCTTGTCCTGCTCTGAGGTATTAACACTGACACCTGATCTCCCCTGCGTGGTCTGCATAGCTACAACTCTTCACCCTCCCACAGTGACACTGCCCCTACGTGCATAATGCACATTATGTTGTGTGTATGCCACTGCACTACAAGAGGCATAACACTTACAGTGTCTCACCCTAAGGATCACAGTTGCTGTAGAGTTCATAAAGTATTGCACTCATCTATTTTTGGAAGGACAAACATATTTTAAGTTATGATGTGATGCATCTTATCTGAAGATTTCAGGGTTCTATCTTCGTTATAGGCTACATTATGGCAGAAAGTATGTGTTAAATAGGGTTTTCAATGTTAACTTTAAATGGCCATCAGATCCAGAATCCGGATCTTATCCAGATGAAATTTGGTGTGATGAGAGACATTGCCACCCTACATATGTGTATTACATTTCAAATTATTCCAATAACTTTTGATGGAGATACAAATTTTAAAATGTTTGCCCCACATTAGAGATGGGGATTCTTGTGATTTCTTTTTTCTCAGAAGTTTTTGTGACCTTGACCTTTGACCTTTTTCAGCCAAACTCTCATCACTTCTAGGGTTGGTCCCCACCAATCTTTGTACCAAGTATGATGAGCCATCCAGCCATTTGTTTGTAATCCTGCCGACCAACGTACACACACAGAACCAAAAACATAACATCCTTGTCAGAGGTAATAACATAGACTTGACTTTTTAATAAAGTGGCTCCAAGAAGAAACATTATTCTTCCAAAACTTCATTGTGTTCAACACATTTTCATATTCATTAAGCCATTCAGTGAGAGCTGCAACCATTAGCCAAAAAATGAACTGCCAGCTCATTTGAATGCATTTCCTATTGAATTCAATGGGAACGGGTGTGTGTGTGTGTGTGTGAGTCTATGTCTGTAGTTAAGTAGTTCTCAACTTGGTAGATTGTAAATGAACTTGTAGTTGTATAATGCTTTTCTGTGCAATGCAGCACACTCCAAGTACTTTTACACTATTTGCCTATTCATTGATTCACACTTCCAAGCACACACACTGCAAGCAACTTGGGGATCATTGTCTTGCTCAAAGCCATTTGACATGTGGACTGAGAAGCTGGGAGTCAAACATCCAGCCTTAAGAGTCAACCCCTTCTGCATCCTGAGCCACAGTTGCCCCAGTTTTGACTAGTCTTACAAGTCAGACTGGTTAGCGCATTTCAACACAAGTATTATATTTTAGTACTTTTTCCACCTGTGTTTGCATGTGTGTGAGCTTCCTCATACTCACAACTGGACACCTCAAAGATCCAGCTGGCAGCCCAGAACATGGCCAGGCACAGCACCAGGTTGTAGAAATAGAGCTCATATTTGGGCAGCGCAGACTTGATCCTCATGATGACACAGGCAGGAATAGCACTGGAGGCTGAACACATGACATTAGAGCAAACGTAAAACAGGTTTTACCTCTGAAATGGCACCGTACCATAGCACGTCAGAGCTTGCCTACAAATTAAAAGCATATCCTGATGATTTCTCAAATTGTCACCTGTGAAGTCATCCACTCTGACATATTATTAGGGGTAGAAAGTAACAAAAGTCCTTTATTACAATTACTTTAGGTACTGTACTTGAGGTATTTACACGAGTATCTCCTTCCTTACTGTGAGTTTATACCTTCATTTCTATCTGATGGATGGAATTACTGATAATTTTGCAGATTATGAAGACATGAAAGTCCCTGCCAGTATTGGTTTTAATAATGAAAGGACATTTTATGTTTACTGTTGCTTGCTTAATCTGAAGCATATTTTATGAACTTATCATAGAATTTCTGTATAAACCTTTTATCTGCCAAGTAACTTGTAGTTAATTATATCTGTCAAATAAGTGTAGTGGAGTCAAAAATGCAATATTTGCACTATGATAAGTAGTCGACTCAAAACCAAGTGGAAAATAAAATGAAAATAGTCAAGTGAGTACAGTACTTGAGTAAAAGTCATTAATTACGTTCCTTTCATTTGTATGAAGGATTTCATCCTACATACTATAAGCTCAGTGTTCCTTATCTATATTGACTTATGCAGTAGAGTTATGTAGCTTTATATTGATATTGTTTCTTCAGCACAAAAAAGTCACTTTTCTTTGATATTCAAGAGATAGAGTATCGGGCCCAAGGAGAAGAATTCAATATCTTGAGGTTTGTAAGTCTCAGAGTCAGATGACTGTCTTAACCGCTTAGGAATTTTATCTACTTGACACATGTCACATTCATCAAAAGAACAGTGGAGGGCAAATGGGCAAGTTTCCGCTGATGAGAATTCAGAGGCCAGACACCAACAATGTGCAGCTGCCTACTATTTTTAACCAAACAGCTTCTCTCCTCTAGATTTATTGGGCAGCTTCTGTGCATGCTGAACACAAGGTAATGCCTTGGAAAACAAGGTAATGCAGAAGCCAAACATGTGCCCTAATAACAGCAGTCATAGTGAATGACATAAACTATATTAAAACTCAGTTTTCTCCTAACAGTGTCTGGCTAAGATGCCTGCTGATGAAATGCCACACAGTCATGCACCTCAGCGTCTCCCCCATAGCACCTGTTGTGATACTGACCTTGAAACGCAGACCTTGAGAGCCCAAAAAATTTGCTTAAATAAACCTTTTCAATTCAATTGAAAGGGGTAAAAACACACAAACGTTTTAAAAAAAAAAAAGATAGATGTTTACATCTGCTATTTAGCTGGAGAGTGCAGGATGGGCTTCAGGACCCACTGTCTCCCTGAGAGGGAGCTGCCCCCAGATAAAGGTGACATGATGCATTTATACTTTGACCACTGACACAGAGGGGGTGGGCCAGGAGGAGTATGATGGGTTGTAAGCCACACAACTTTAGGGGATGTATTAGGGTCTTTTGGCTGTGTTAGAACTTATTCTACTTTATTAGATGCAGTAGACACAGTACAGGCTAAAGTTAAATCCTTTTTTAACTGAATGAAATTGTCACTATGCTAAAACAACTTATAAAAAGGCAAAAATACTCTGTAATTATGTTGTCTGCATTACATTATAACATTACACAACTAAGAGCATTTATTTTACATTTTCAAATTAAAAGACCTGCTCTTTTTCTCTTGTTTCTACTTTCCATATTCCTGGTTGCCAAATCTGTGTTGGGAACACCCAAGCCTTTTAAGCAAAGAATATAGGACACATTCCAAAAAAAAACAACCATATCCCTGTGCAGGACCAACAACTTTAATGCAAAAAACAAAAAACAAAAACAAAAACAGCAACACAATGAAAAACAGATATGCACCTGCTAAGACACCACTCCAGTATCTCCAATCTGCTTCTAAAGAGGACCAATCAGAACAGAGCTAAACGGTGTTGTCTAAAACTCCCTATTAACAAATGTTCAGAGACGTTGCTGCATAGTGTTTTAGATGTTACCTGGCTAATTGAGTATTCCTGCCTAGTGCAGCACTCCTGCTTGCATCACATTTCCCCGCCCTTACCACTACTTCACAAGTGGAATGCCGGCATGGACAAATTGAACACAACCTTGTTATCGATGGCGGGAAAGGAAGTGTCTGCCCCGCCTTCCCGCAGGCCAATCATCCAATCATCAATAAGGGCTGCACGGAGTGGGCGCGGCCGCAAAGCTTTTAAATTTCCACAAGCAGACACACAGGTGTTTGATGATTTTGGTACAAAGTGACCTTTCGCTGCGTCTGTTTCTGTAACCTCAGCCCGAGCTCCAGCCTTTCTCTTGTATTCATTGACATACATTAGTTTTAGTGCCAAACAATGCAAAGAAAAAAACAGCCTGAGGGAAATTGCCAAGGAATTGCATTCAACTTAATGCTGAGTTGTGCATGTAGTAAAACAGAGCCTGGAGCACTCGGTAAGGCACAGAACGGTTCTTTACAAAAAAAAACTGTTCAAGCATCAATTTATATTTTTTAGGTATTTAAATATTTGGAAAATTGTAAATGCATATTTTAAAAGCGTGCATTTGTCTTATGTTATTTACCTTCCCTCATGAGGTCACTGAATTCTTTGTATCATGAAAGTACAGATTAAAATTTTTCCAAATGTCTTGTATTGATTTTTTTTTTTTTTTTTTACATTGTAAGAGGAAGTGTATCTTTTAGTTTTGTATTTGCTGCTCCATGACATGACCTGTAGAGTTGGAAACATTTGAAATTTGACCTAAACTAATTTAATTTTTTTTCTGTTTAGGTAGATCTACGAACTGTAAGTCACTTATTTTCTTTATTTTGGGGTTGCTAGGCAGCCATTAAAGATGTTTCTGACACTTAAAATTGTCTGTGTGCGCCAACGGTTTCCAAGCATTATGATCCCTTACTCAAATAACTTGTATCCAATCCAAATTTTCTTATTAATCTTACAATATTGATCCCAATGATAGAGAATGGTCTTATTTTGAATGTAGGTTCATACAGTGAAATTAAGAATAAAAAATTGCTATATCTCTTGGGCAGACATCATATCCACAAAGCTAGATTTCTGCAGCTTCGTCCATACCAGTCCCTGTTCCATTTAGTCTTTCTATGATTCTATAAGAACAAAGCTTTATGGACATTTCATATTCTGAGAAGTATTACTTAAGGTGTTAAATGAATAAGTGATGTTTTTCAACTTTTACAGGCTTGTTATTTATATTTGTAATTTTTACTCAGGTTTTTGTGACGTTACTGTGGTTCTAATAAAGGTTTGGGGAAAAAAGATTTCCAAGCATTGTGGCACATGGGTAGTCGGAGCTTTCTCACGAAAGATCACAAAAATTACGTCACTCGACCTTAGCGGACATGCGCACGTGCAAACATACAATAGGTGTGAACATAGCGAACATAGCGTCGCTTTTACCGGTGATCTACGAACCTAGCTCGCTTCATTCATGATTACTCAACCAGGTGCAGCTAATTAACTGGAGAATTCACCTGTGTGTAATGTTTAAAGCAGTTGCAGTGCGCAGAAAACCGAGGTGACTTGTCATTGAGTGCGATTTTAACTTACAATAAATACAGTATGAAATTTATTAGTAGTGATGGGCAGATGAAGCTTCATGAAGCAATGAAGCCTTTCATCCAATTGGTTCACTCCAGCGCAAAGCTTCTTGAAGCTTCATTTGCTCTAGGAGGACATCTACTGGATGCAACAATATCAGTTGGCATGAATTTGAAGTGTGTGGCATTTTGCAGAAAGCCTGTGAATAAAACTGTATGCAAAATAAAGAAGTATGCAAAACATGTATATTGTAGTGATGGCAGTATACTGTGTGTGTATATATATATATATATACTGGCAGTATGGAAAATGATTATTTGGAAATGATGGAAATGGAAATGATTATTTACAGTGAGGTGAGGGGGGTTGGGGTATGGACAATGATTGTGCTTTTGTAACGTTGAGGTATGGCCAGTGATTATGGTTTAGGGGACACATCATTGGTTTTTATTTAAAAACAACAGTTTCTCCACTGTGGCAGTTCTTAGGCGATTTCTTTTTTTTGACCACCATAGCAAGCAAAGGTATGACCTTTGAGCCAGACACCCTTTTTTCCTGAGAGAGCTTGGTGGTTGCGTTATTAAATGGTCCTAGGACAATCAGACACTTGGAAATTATGCCATATTCCTCTGATGAAATAGGTGAGATGTCTGTTGTGAGACTTGCCAAAGCAGCACCCACTGGCTCTCTTTGCTCAAACAGTCTTTGCAGCATATTGTAAGTGCTGTTCCAGCGGGTTTCCACTTCCTGGATAAGTTTGAGTTGAGGCTTCCCAATTGTTCCTGCACCACTGCAAGCCTCAAGGCAGCAGAACTATACACACAAGTAGCATTAAAGAAACTGTAATTAAGCCACAGAACTTACCTTTGCAGTGGTACTGCTCCTGAAATATCCCACTATCTTCCTGGACTTGGCTCGGATGTCGGAGAGCTCAGGAGTCTGGTCAAGGGCCTTCTTCACCACTAAGTTAAGGGTGTGAGCTACACATATGGCATGTTTGAGCCGTAGCTCCCTTGCACAAGCCCCTATATTGCCAGCCCCATCTGTTACAATGCATGTAACTTTTTCAGTAATAGCCCATTCCCTCATGAGTGAGCCTTTCACTTGTGCAATATTTTCTGCAGTGTGCGCCTTGGGAAAATGTTGCACTCCCAAAACAACTGTATTTAATGTGCTGGACTCAACAAAATGGCAGGTGACAGCGAGATAGGCCTCTGTGTTGATAGAGGTCCACATATCTGATGTCAGACTCACAGCTGCTGCCTTCTCAATGCTGGCCTTAGCTTTCTCCTTCATCTCCTGGTACCTGGCCTCCACCATGGCTTTCAGGGCCTAAAGGACAGAAAAAGCATTTAGTTTAAAAGTATGAGGTGGCTGTGAAGCAGTGTATAGTATGGCTGTCCTGTGACTGATAGCGTCAGGCTTGAGCCTCAGTCCTGCCTGTCCACATTGTTAGTGGTTTTATTCAGTAAAAGCACAATTTTTAATGCTTTTATTACCTTAGTGGGGAGAACATAGCTAGGATTTAACGATTTAACAAATCTTTTAAATCCTTTGTCCTCCACAATACTAAATGGCTGGGTGTCCTCAATCACCTTGGTAACCAGGTCATCTATTTGAGATTTTTCTCCTGAGGAAAGAAAATAAAAACAAAGCACAAATATAAATATCACACACATTTTAACTTATTACAGTTGTACAATATTGTTATATCATTTAGTCACATTACTGCATGCTATATTATCATTGCATTTTTGATGGCTCACCTGGTCTTGGTCCCCATTCGGTGTTGTCCTTATTCTCATGCAAAGCTCTGTAGTGCCTAAGCATGGATGAGGTGTTGTTGTTATACCCCAGCTCCCTGGCACATAGCAAACACTTCACCTTGTACAAAAGTAAAGACAGCTGAAGATAAATTGCATTGCACAATCAATATTAATTATGAAAAAAAAATCTTCTGTAGAAATATTACTGTACATACCTTGTTGGGAGGAATGAGATCAAAATGTTCCCACACAGGGGACATCCTCCTCTTCTTAGCTGGCTCCATTCTCTCCTGACTCTCTCTCCTCACTCTCCTAAATCTCCAAACTCTCTCCAAACTATCTCAAACTCTATCCAAACTGTCACTGACCGCAACTCTCCATCAAACACCCACATTTTGAATGGAGCCTGAGGGGGTTGTATCGCTGTCAAAACTGGCAAAATCCGAACCACTTCCTGAATCAGTCACGTGGTATAGCCGGGCAGCGAGGCTTCGGACGTCATCATTTTCAGCTCCTCCCCTAAATGACGCAAGCCTCGATACGCGCATCGCGGAAACGCCCCCTCCCCTATTCGGCACACGCTTCGAAGCCTCGATACGGAACGTCACATCACTATTTATTAGCAGTGGACATGGCCAAGTCATCCCATTAGGGAGCAGAGGGCCAGAAATAAGTTACTGACACTCGCCGACTTTTCCGCCCCCTGCTGTGCATTGTGTACATGATGCAGAATAATTATGCATTTTATATAGATGTCTGGTAATTTAAGCACAAATGCTTGTAGGAATGTGAACCATAATCTGACCAATACTGAAACAATGTAGGTATTAAAGCCTGGGCTCTTTGCAATATACAGTAGGTAATAACACACATTTAAAGGACCTGATTATTAAAGATGATCGGGTGCTTCTGTAGTTGTGGTAGCCCTTTGTCTACACCCTTGGCATTGGACAAGAAATCAGAATTTCCATGTTGGCAATGGGCTATACCACTGAAGGAGTGATGGGTTTTAAAAGTCATAGGGTGAAGACCTGTACATATATAATCCTCTCCCCACCTACTATGCTGGAGGTTTCCCACAGCAAAATCAAGTTTCATCAGAATATTATCTACATCATCCATGTGCACACACTGATAGATGGATGCTGCCAATAGGTGCTGGAGGAGGTCTTACTCAAACACCAGGGGCTCCCCATTAACAATGAACTATCTGGTGCCAGCTCGTGGTTAAGATAAACATTTCCCCCCCATTATATTTAAAAAACTTCTGCTATATTTTCATCTTTCATAGGTAAATTGATATATGCTATGATTCAGGCTAAGAAATGGACTAAATCGTTCATGACATGTTTCACAGACCAGTGCTTCAGAATTGTAGTTGGTGATTTCTCAACCTGGGGCTGTTGGTTCCACCTTTCAACTGTAGTGATTGATGCTTTCACAGGGACCACTGAATATCAGTGGTTGCATGTTATTCAGCTTTGAAAACAGAATACAGAAACCTTAGTTGTACCGCCATATCCAGTAAGTGCTGGGTGGTTTTATTGAAACAGTATCTCAATCCAATCTGCCTGAAAACTGGAATGAGAGGTCCCACTGACAATCTGCTTACATTTTCTCCTTTTTTAAACATACATGATCGTACATGAATGAAATGCTGCTCATCAAAGAAAGAGCAGTTATCTTTTCCACAACTGTTCTATATAATGAATACATGGCATCAGAAGCGACTGCAGTGATGCACCACCACAGCTTATCACAATATATTGCGTATCAATATTCTTCCTGGTGATGCATTTGCAAAAAGTTTGTGGATTTTCATGGAGTGACTGACACGTGAGTCAGCTTTACTCTTCATTAGTGTCCCTTTTGCTGGTCTCCTGTCCTTCGAAGATGGGGTACTTGCTCTCCACTTCTGCCCAGGTCAACGTGCCATTGGCCAAGTCCCGAACAATCGCAGGCAAATCACTGACCTGAGGAGAGAAGAAGTGTCTCGCTTGATTGTGTGAAATGTGGTGTGTAATTAAAAATTAAATGCTCCACTGAGTAATGAATGATTCTTTGAAACAATGTCAAGTGCTTCACCCAGGACTATTAATTTTTCAGGGAACATGTTCATGAAAACAGAATTATCCTGTTTGGAGATGTAAGAGCATCACAAAATAGGCTTTTCAAAGTGTGATGGCCTTAAGGGCAACACATGCTGGCTGCTTTGTGTAGTGCCACTTCATTTGACACCTGTGGCACAAACTGAGCGCGTCATAAAGACAGGAAAAAAAATTCATGGTACATTAGTCACGACGTGCGAATTCAGGCAGAAAATCTGAGAAAACTGCTGCTGAGCTATGGCACAGAGGAATACTTTATGAACTGTATGCACGTCTATACAGAAAATAAGTGGACTGTTTCTTTTTACACCCTTCTACACAAGAGCTACTACAAAGTGACTGATTTAGACACAGGTGTATGTGAAGTAAAGAAGTTTTAAACGAAACTAAATAATAGAAAGTGTGCTGTACCTCGGCCCTGATCTGCCTCATTGAGTCTCGGTCTCGCAGAGTGGCTGTGTGAGGCTGCTTATTCACTGTGTCAAAGTCAATGGTGATGCCAAATGCTACTCCAATCTCGTCTGTCCGAGCGTAACGCCTCCCAATGGATCCGGAAGAGTCGTCCACTTTGTGAGAAACACTGTTTCTGGTCATCGCCTCAGCTGAGAGGGACAAAATGAAAAAAGTTAACCAAGAATGTAGGACATGCCATTTCTTCTCTTCAGACAAAACCAGAATATGCATGATAGTTATGTGGGCACTTACATAGCTCCTTCACAAAGGGCATGAATTCCTGGTTTTGGCTCAGGGGCAGCACAGAACATTTAAACGGAGCTACAGTGGCAGGGAAGCTAAAATACTGTATAAAAGAAAGCAAATGGTCATTTCAGATAACCAGTGAACTAAAATTGCTTTACATGCAACAGTGTTCAAAAGGAGTGGATGATGCAGGAGACTGGGGCTAAAACTTGGCGATACTGCCAAATACAGTGGGTACGGAAAGTATTCAGACCCCCTTAAATTTTTCACTCTGTTATATTGCAGCCATATGCTAAAATCATTTAGGTTCATTTTTTTCCTCAATGTACACACAGCACCCCATATTGACAGAAAAACACAGAAT